AACCACATTATAACAGCTAAATGGAGTTCCAACTACATTGTAACAGCTAAATGGAGTTCCAACCACATTATAACAGCTAAATGGAGTTCCAACCACATTATGGAGTTCCAACCACATTATACCAGCTAAATGGAGTTCCAACTACATTGTAACAGCTAAATGGAGTTCCAACCACATTATAACAGCTAAATGGAGTTCCAACTACATTGTAACAGCTAAATGGAGTGCTGACGAATCCTTTTACCCCAAAGCCTGGCTAATTAGGCTGGCTAGGGTACGGCTAATTAGGCTGGCTAGGGTACTTTCTCTTTAAGAACGAGTATAAATATGTGGTGAATGGATAAAGAGAAACTTAAATAAGTGTATACAATAAAGTTAAATCTTTTTGTGAGTCAACTGCTGTTGCTTTCGTCCTAAAATGTAAGCTACAATAGAGAGCAGTTTTTAAAGCGTAGGCTTGTTTGATTGTTTGTTTTGAATATTAGCAAAAAAACTATATTTATAGAATAAAGCTAGACAAGAGCACCCACCGCCGACTATTTGGGTGCTTTTTTGTGACTAATAGTGCATGACATTTTACCATCACTCTTATATGAATGCAAGGTCCCAAAGTGCCAAGTACGGTTTTGCGGCAACGAGACGCGAACCATAGATCCTTGGATTTACAGTCTTGCAGGTTAACCACGAGGCCATACTCAGCCGTTAAAGCGTTGGTAAAGAGCAGAAAATATGCTTATCATAAGAAAATAGAGAAAAAGAAAAAAAGGACACTTCAGTTTGAATTTACTTTCCAATCAGCCGCGTATTAATGTATTCAAAATTAATAGTTAGGTCGTAGAAATAATTTGTTAGATATTTTGCTAAGCTATACTTCTTCTCGTGCTCGTGAACTGGCTGTGTAGCTAGTTAATCCGATAGTTATAACTTAGTCTCTTTAATCAAAATATCTTTATCACGGATAACGGTTAGCTTATTCACTGTTGACTTATTATAGTCGCCCATGACTTTACAGTATTTTGCTTAGAAAATAGAATACCCAAGCTTTTCATTCCATTTGAGAAGAAAAGAGAGAGAGGTGAACTTTCAGGTATTTGACACCAGTAGTAACTAAGTTGTCAGATCTCTATGTCACCACTACTTACTCAGACTTACAACGTTGTATGGCGCTGTTAAATATATTCGGTTTATCATAATGTTTGAAGCGTCGTTTCGTGTTTTATCTGTTTCAGGATCAACCAACAATTGTGCCGTTGAAGAAACATGTGGAGTTATCGCCTCCCAAGAAACGTCACTTCCAAGATTCCAGCATACAACCGGGATTAGAAATACGTCAGGAAAAAGACCAAAACGCCTGCGTACTTCTTTTAAACACCATCAAGTGCGAACTATGAAATCTTATTTTTTAATCAACCATAATCCTGATGCCAAAGATTTGAGACAATTGTCTCAAAAAACAGGACTTAGCAAACGGGTGCTTCAGGTAAGTCACATGATTATTCTCACATAAAAGTTGTAACTGGTAAAATAGTTTCTATTAGTTGGAAGAAGCTATTATGTTGTCATTAAAATAGAATATTCTGATTGTTTATTATAAAGCATCCCATTTTCATGTAGACCGTGTATATTAATATTTTTGATAAAAAGAATACATTTTTCGTTTCTTTTTTATGGATTTCTTTCTCCTCATACTAACGTTTCTTAACGTGGTTAAAGATTTTGTGAACACAATATTTTCACAACGCCGTTAACTCGCCGTGATCATTTAAGTTGTGGAAGCTATTTTCACAATTTGGCTAATCTCTTATCAATTTATGATAACGAATGCATTACTCCCGTCCATAAACATACCCTTTATAATGTGTTCAGGTAACTCTTCATAACCGAACATTGCATCTTTATTAACAGCTGTTACTAACAGCAAACCAGACATGTCTAGATTTTATTAGTTGCGATACACAACTTATCTAGATAGGTTGTGTGTGTCCTCACTGAAACCCGTTCTTAAACTTCAAATTTGCTATAACGGCAGTTGCTCAGTTTACGTTTCAGGCTGATTAGCGAGAAAACAAAATTATCTAATTGTTAAATTTTATTCTAGTTAACTAATTAGTTTATAAATTCTTCAAAATGTTTTTTTATTATTAATAGAGGACGCTTAAGACATAATATATTAATTTTTCATGTGTTAATTTGTTTGTCGGTGAAATCCTCCCACAGCTTTGGAGTTAGCAGGACCAAATTTGTCAGATGGACATGGGGTGACCTGGAGGGGTTCTTTATCTATATGGCATAGCCCCCTAATTTATTTATTTGGAAGTACCAAGGGGGACTAAAACGTACCCAGAACTCTCACAAATATGATAGGGGGTTCCTAAACTCGAGTCTGGCATCAGACTTTATGTTCCTGGGGCCATCAGAATGCAGGAAGCGACATTTTTGAAACTGTGTTCATATCTCCCACTCACAAGATAGCGAGAACAAATCTGAAATATTTGCTCAGATACTATGGACGAATGTCCTAACGTTTTCTTTTCAGGTATTTACCCCTTTGGAATAGCTATAGAAGTAATTGAGGACAATGAAGGAGCTTAATCGATATATTGGGGCCCTGTGAACTCCGGTGCAGAGCGCAAGTATTTCATGCTAGTGTGAATAAAAAGCCAAAAATTGACTTATATATATATATATATATATACACACACACACACACACGTCATATTCAAATATATATATATTTTTTACTTTGTTTAGCAACTCCATACCTAAATTCTAAATATTTCTCCAGATTCTTACACATGTCTTTTCTACGTACTTATTAGAGAAAGAAAGAGAAAAGCAAGAAACAATACCATCTTAGCCAAAGAAAGTGTGTCATATAAATGAACCAGTAGAAATGCTAAACTATATTCAAGTAAGATATTTACTGGAAGTATATATACACACACATGTAAGCTGTGTCTTGTTTCCAAATAAATGTGTTATAAAGTTTCTTCAAAGCATTTTTGTTAACAAGAATTACAGTTAATATATGTTTATGACCTCAAGGTCTGGTTCCAAAATGCACGAGCAAAATGGAGAAGAAACTTACTGCGCCAGCAGACACAAGGACCTGAAGTTGCACAAGAATCAAAACCACTGGTGGAAATGACGTCACAAGAGACGTTGCTCAGTGTTCAGAGACCATCAGCTGAACAACACCTCACCCCGATCACACAAGAGGAACAGAATGTTTATACGTATACAAGCGTATTCTGAGTATAGGTAGTAATTTGCTATTATATTTGGTTTTAAAGCTTAGCACCGAACTCGTTAAAGTTAGGGTTCTGTGTCATGGTTTAATGCTATATTGGACAAATAGAGAAAAAGAAATCCCGTAGCTCAACGTGAAAACAAAGAAATATTTGACTCCGGTTGGCCACGCGCAAAGTTCTCATAGAAGTGACAGAGAACAGGACAGATGTGTATTATTAAACCAACCAATAAACGTATGCTACCCTTCTCTTGTAGCTACTTGGCTATATTAATTACCTATGCATGGCCAAACGTAAAATCACTACTATCATTGGTTTGTTGATTGTTATTTTAACTGAACAAAAAGTCAAAAACTATAAAGGAAACTAAACTACAATTTTACCTCAAATGAATATTATTGTGTCATCACGGCCAATTAAAACATCTTTGCTCTCTTGCAGTAACAACACAAATGAAGTTTGACAGAATGAAAATCATAAGGTTAAACTTTCCGTCAGTGAATGATGATAGTATTAGTCGATTAAGCATCTTTTTAAGCGATTCATGTAAAATTTGTGCGAGATGAAAAGTAATTCAAAGACGAGCAGTAAAGTATTGTCCAATAAAATATACCCATAGTCGACAAGCTTCTTAATAGGAAGTGAACGAAGCAATAACAATGGAATATTGGTTTTATAAACTTATGATGAAATAGGTTTCTTAAATAGTACGTGCAGTCCTGACCACAGGAATAATTGTAAATGCTATAAAGCAATATATACGTTATTGACTGTACATATTACGCGAGGGAAGGATTTCGATATGAATTTAGCCTAAATATTGTATTATTTATTATGCATGTTTTCATATTTAAATACGATTGTACATAGTGTACGGGATATATTTACGACGGCAACGTCCACGTACAAATCAGGAAATATTAAGTGAATTGCGTCAGAAATTGGGCAAGTCATTAACAAAGTTTAGAATTCAGCATACGTATACTGTTGCAAAAGTGATATACCATTCTCAATTCAAGCTATAAACGTGTCAGCATTTACTATTAAAAGAATGTAGTATTTTGCCTGATGTCGAACGTATGTTAAGTATAAATATGATATTTATCATATTTAGCAGAGTAATTTGTTTCCATTTTCAAAATAATTACAGGACGATTATGTTATACGTAAGAATAAAGTTGGTCAATAATTATGTTTGTTATCTATATACTTATAGTGAAAGGCACTTTGCCATTTATCGTTAAAACATGTTGAATACTTCAGAATTCATTGTGTTGGATGAGTGAATAATGTACGTGTCAATATTAAGCCTACTTTGTAATGCAACACTGCTTGTGGTTAAAATGTATTCTTCCCCAATTATAATTTTAAGGTTAACTTCGACATTTCAGTGCAATTTTCATTTGGAATTTATATTGGTTATTGATCAGTAAATTCAATGGATGTAGACGTTAAACATGTTTAGAAGTATGATTTACATGTAAGGTGAATGAAGGTAATAAAATACTCTAATTGTGAATATAAAAAAACGACTTGATTATACTGAGATCAAACATCCACGGGCATTATACCCATATCGAATATAGTCTTGCCTGAGAACTGATGAATACACAGTGGGTAAGTTGAAGTATTTATGCTATCTTAATAGATGAAAGTCATCTCCTTAGAGGTATGTTTATTATGTATAGAATCATTAAAAATAAAATTGTATTTAAATATAACGTTGCACTGATCTAAATACAATAGATGAACGGTGGTGTTTCTCTATATAGGCGAGTTTGTATTACGACAATTTATAAGATGCCGAATTTCGCTTATATTTATTTTGTTTACTTAAACATCCAAATACATATACACCAAAGAGAGCGTAAATAATGGTCCATTTATGAAAATGAATTGCGTACGCTAACAGAGTGGCGCCATGAGTGGCATGTTTCAAGAATACATCTTAGCCCAATCTTGAGCAATGGCCTCATTCATAAAGAGTCTAAGAAACAGAACCCTGGCACCCAACGCTTTGAATTAAACCTTTTTCGTCCTAGAGCTTCAAATGGATTCAGTTTGTGCCTCTCACCAAGCAAAGGTACATTTCATAGGTTATTCGTTTTAAACTACTGCTAGAGACAATGCACGGTAGAACATAAGTCTTTATCATGTTGAGAAAAAATATGGTTCTTTCCCATAAAATTCCACCGATGCAGACAAGTGCAGCATTACCTAAAGTCTCCCAGTATAACTTGGTATTTATGGGTTTCTTGAATTTACTCGTGACCCAAGTTCAAAGCAATAAAAACAAGGTTATTATATATATATATATATAGTTGTTCTTAGGTAATTATAAAAAAGAATGTTTTTCGACAGGTGTTTTTTTTTAGAATATCTAATAACATGAAGTGCTATTAAGTGTCTTTCTTGAAAGTGAAGTCCATATACCGGAAGAAATACTGTAAAAATGACTCATTTTAGCACACTTTAAACTAGAAACAAAGCATATGTTTTATTATATT